AGCCCAGGAGTTGGAGGTTGCTGTGAGCATGATGCCATGGCACTCTACCCAGGGGGATAGCTTGAGGCTCCGTCTCAAAAAAAAAAAAAAGAAATAAGGTCTGTTGCCTGTTGTTTTAATATATCAAAGATTTTGGACCAAGTTTATCAATAGTAATCTAAGACAGGGAGAGGAACTATTTAAAAAAATTATAAATTGTTAGGGTTTATTATTTATTTATTTGAGACAGAATCTCAAGCTGTCATCTTGGGTAGAGTGCTCTGGCATCACAGCTCACAGCAACCTTAAATTCTTGGGCTTAAGCGATTCTCTTGCCTCAGCCTCCCAAGTAGCTGGGACTACAGGTGCCTGCCACAGCTCCTGGCTATTTTTTGTTACAGTTGTTGTTGTTTAGCTGGCTCGGCTGGCCAGGTTTGAACCTGCCAGCCTGGGTATATGTGGTCTGCGCCCTACCCGCTGAACTACCAGTGCTGCTCTGCAATATTTTCTAGAAGAGAAGTGTGCCGTATGTGGAGAGCGCGGCCACACCAGTTTACAGCTCATTTCAATTGATGAGTGTAGCCAGATTATTTCTATAGCATTGAATAAAAAAAGCATAAAACACAGTGGTCTTATCACTTTGAGGGTGGCTGGGATAATACTTTTGAGTAATCCTGAGTCTAATAGAGTTATTATTTGTCTTTCTAAAAGGATTTATAGAAACGAGAAGATGGGGCTCAGTGCCCATAGCTCAGTGGTTAGAGCACTGGCCATGTACAGGAGGGCTGGCCTGGGCCTGCTAAACAACTTTGACGACTGCAACCAAAAAATAGCCGGGAGTTGTGGTGGGAACCTGTAGTCCCAGCTACTCAGGAGGCTGAGGCAAGAGAATCACTTAAGCCCAAGAGTTTGAAGTTGCTGTGAGCTGTGATGCTACGGCACCCTACCAAGGGTGACATATGCAACATAGTGAGACTCTTTCTCAAAAAAAAAATGAAGCCTTTTTATTTAAGTGTGTAATGTAATAATTATTTTGTTAATGTGTCAATTTTCTTTTCTTTTTTTTTTTTTTTTTTGAGACAGAGCTTCAAGCTATCCCCCTGAGTAGAGTGCCTTAGCATCACAGCTCACAGCAACCTCCAACTCCTGGGCT